CAAGGACTGCCCCGCACCCCCCGCCGCGGCGGGCCTCCCTCTTCTACCAGCGGCAGGGGAGGAAGCCCCGGGAGCGGTACCCACACGGCCACTCTGTGTCCCAGCCATACTACTTCCCCGGTGAGTCCTGCTGAGACAGCCCCCGTGGCCCTGTCATGCCCCCCAACACTGGCACTGTGGGGTGGGGAGGGGTTTCCATTGCCAAATTTCCCAAAGTATGTTTAACTGAAAACTGGATTTAAGACATGGGGAGTTTAGCCTGCCCACCCAACCCTTCCCACACAGGGGGGTCATGCCTTGATATGTGTCTGTCTGTGTCCCCCAGGGGTGAAAATCCTGCCTATTCCCGTGCTTTCCAACAACTACAGCTACCTGGTCATTGACACTAGCTCTGGCCGGGCGGCTGCCATCGACCCCTCTGACCCTCTGGCTGTGCAGGTGAGGCGCCTGCAGCCCCCCAACCCACTGTGTGGGTGTTCGTGGTTGAGGAGGGTGGCATGTGTCTGGCTTTTCTGGGGACAGAGGGGTGCAAATCTGCCCCTAATCTGCAGCTCTTGGTACCCAAGGCAAGGCTGGAGTATGGCAGGGCTCATCTTCACCTGGGGAGCTGGGGGGAGTGAGGGTGTTTGGGGGAGACTGGTACTTGGGGTCTTGAGTCCCTCTGTAATCCTTCTGCCTGTCCGCCCCATTCCCAGGCTGCCATTGAAAAAGAGGGTGTGATGCTAGAGGCCATATTCTGCACCCACAAACACTGGTAAGGGGCAAAGAGGGGACATTGGGCTGGTCAGTGGTTGCTGTGGAGGGTGCCCCAGCTGAAGTGACCCCCAGCCCAAGCCCAGCTGATGGGGAGGGATATGGGGGGACACAGTCAGGGGCACTGACCTCCCTGTCTGCAGGGACCACAGCGGGGGGAATGCGGAGCTCTGCCAGCAGCACAGCTCCTGCAAGGTGTACGGCAGTGCCCTCGATTCCATCCCAGACCTCACCAAGTAAGTCCTGTGCCCTGCACCCCTGTAAACTGGGGGGGGCAGCTACACCCCCAACCATCACTATCTGCTCCACTCACCAGTCCATCCCACACACACCAGATTGCCCCCTTTTGTGGTCAGAGGCCTGGCACACTTATGACACCAGTGCACCAGGGAAGGGCTGCATTGGGAGGTGGCAGTTTTGAGGTGCTGGGTGAGGGACATAACACCCTGACAGTGTACCCCTGTGCCCGGAGCAGCCCACTTACAGACAGAGAGAAGGTGAGCGTGGGCTGCCTGCCCTTCCAGGCGCTTGCCACGCCTGGCCACACCGTGGGCCATATGGTGTACGTGCTGGATGGGGAGCCCTTCGGCGGCCCCCACTGCCTCTTCTCTGGGGACCTGCTCTTCCTGTCTGGCTGCGGTGAGTGTGCCTGACCCCAGACCTGGGTTGATATGGGGTTCCCACCCTGGGAAGAGCTTGGGGGGGCCCCCCAGTACTTCCCCTCATGACAGGCAGTTGCACGGGGGTCCAGGCAGGCTGTTTGAGGGCTCTGCTGAGACCATGCTCGCCTCCCTGGACTTGGCCATGGGCTTGGGCGAGGACACACTGCTGTGGCCAGGTGAGTGTCCCAACCAGTGTGGCAGAGCCACTGGTGTCCCCTCTAGCTCCCACTGGCTGGGGGCAATGCTGAGGGGTACAGGGGTCCACAGGCCATGAGTACGCGCTGGAGTGCCTGACCTTTGCTAGCCTCCTGGAGCTGGACAACCCCGCGCTGGACC